CAGATAATCAAACCTAGTATTACACATTCACTTCCAACATTCACCATATTTATCATGCAATTAAAATATACTATTATATAACCATTAAATCAGATGCACTTTTTCATATCAAAAATATTGTTATAAAATCCATTTTGTTAAACCTAGTAATGTAACATTCACCAATCATTTAAAATATACAGATAATCAAACCTAGTATTTTGCAGATAATCAAACCTAGTATTACACATTCACTTCCAACATTCATCAATTCATGCAATTAAAAATTCACTAATTAACGCAATTTTTAATATATACTTGGATTACAGAAACATTTCAAGAATTTAAACATACCTCCAGACATTTATAATGTATACAGGTGAGGTCCAAAAAGCTAATTAAAAGAAAATATAGGATTTAAAAATTTACAGATCTAGGCACACTAATGACATAAAATAAACATATGTTTTCATATCAAGTCTACACAACCAATGCAAACACGTTTTTCTTAAAAAAAGAAAAAAAAAACACAACTGTACATTATTCCACTTTCAAAATTTATGATGAAACTAAATAGATAAAGAAAAGTAAAATTTGTAAAAAAATTTCTTACTTGATTCTTTTTAAATAAGTTAAAAGATTATAAAAACAAAAAAAAATTAGGCAGACTTGCGTTAAAGGCAGTAGACAACGGGTGTCAAAGGCAGCAGACAACAGGCGTCAGAGGCAGCAGACAACATGTCGTGAAAGGCAGCAGGAAACAGGCGTCATAAAATCCATTGTTAAACGGGGCAGATAATCAAACCCTAATAGAAAACAGGTTGTGAAAGGCAGCAGACAATTAAAAATATATATTATATAACCATTAAATCAGGCGTCAGAGGCAGTCAGAAAACATGCGTCAAAAGATCATACAAAAAATATGCATTATATAACCATTAAATCGTAAATCAAGCAGTTAAAAGACAAATCATTTGCAGATCATGAAAGATCATTCGGTTTTTCATATCAAGACAAAAATCCATTTGAAGGTTCATTTGCAGTAATCAAACCTAGAAAGGCAACTATTATATAACCATTAAATCAGACAACAGGCGTCATTTCCAGGCAACATTCACCATATTGTCATGCAAAAACAGGTTGTGAAAGGCAACAGACAACAGACGTCAGAGGCAGCAGACAACAGGTCGTGAAAGGCAGTAGACAACAGGTCCTCAAAGGCAGTAGAAACGGGCGTTAGAGGAAAGTTTACAACTTCTACACATAACAGGTCCAATATTTGAAGGAACGTAGTGAAAAGAATTATTTCAAAAAAAGTTTAATACTTTTTATTTATTCAGGTACTAACGTTGTACTTTACTACCTTCCACGCACACACGCACACACACACACACACACATTTGCACACACACACACACACCATATTGATCACATATATATATATATATATATATATATATATATATGTGTGTATGTTAATAATCGGTTTTTGTCGACATCATCAAATTCATGGTTTGAATAACAAGCATTTGCAAATATAATAGTATTACTTTTATAATCTATAGCCTAAATAAATAGTTTAAATACCCAATCAAAAATCAAACCTGATAACCCTTTAAAATATAATTTTGAAGTCGTCAAAAACAAATGTTACGGTAGTTTTTTTTAGTTTATATGCAAAAATCCCTTTTATTCCATAAAGAAATAAAATTCAAATAAAGATTATAAAAACAAAATAAATAAATCTCCATAGACACGTAAACCAGAAAAGGCTAAAACATCTTCTGTTTCAAATTTAGACACCCCCAAATTCACCTTATCCTGACTTGACATCAATTAAAAAAAAGTAACTTCTTTTCGCTGATACTTTGAATATTAACACCCAACACACGCCTACCCAATTTAAATCAAATTCAATTCGCCAATATAATAACTAGCTGTTACCATGGAAATTTTGATTTCAATTTTCATTAAAGCACGTAAATTTCAGAAATACGTTATCATGCAATTAAAATATACTGAAAAAAATTTAAACAATTTCGCTTGAAGATGGAATTATTAAAAGCACGTAAATTTCAAAATTTATTCCCAAAAAAAATTTTTGAACTCAATTTAATTCAAATAATTATATTGAAGTTTTAGGCTCTTGTTTTGAAACATGAGACCTCTTATGTCGCGAGTTGAATCATATTTTTAAATAAATAATTATATATATATATATATATTTGTGTGTGTGTGTGTGTGTGTGTGTGTGTGTGTGTGTGTGTGTGTGTGTGTGTGTGTGTGTGCCATGATAATATTCTGCGGCACACTTAAGAGAATCACGCGGCATACTAATGTCCCTTGCCACAGCGGTTAAGAGTCACTGACATAGACTATAAAAGTCGCCACAATACCTTACTATTCTATTTCTAAAATATCTGATATTACTTAATAGCGAAAGTTTATATCTATAAAATGTTTTCCTAATTGTTGTTTATTTAATCATGTGTTCCGGATTATATTTCTATTGATTTGTAGTTCTTCCTCCCAACGGCTTATGGTTGAATAAAGTAAATATCTGATATAACAGTAACGTCGTGCCATTGTCTTTGGTCCCCCGAGACAGATCACCGACACAAACAGTCTTTACAGTCAACCATATACGGCAATGGTTCAACAACATTATAACCCCCCCCCTGCGGTAAATTATCCGGCTTTTCACTTTACTTTACGGCCTTGAAATTTCTTTCGGAAATGTACCATTAAATCAAGGCTTGCTTCCGGGTTTGGTTTATCGCCATACCCAGGACTCTCTTACATTTAGAGCGGGGAGGAAATGCAAGTGATTCGTTTCCTTGTAAGTAACGTAACAATACATGCTCCAATCTTCTTCGATTATATAAAGATACTTTTCTTGAATTTAAGCAGCGTCTAATTATTTCATGTCTTGTCAATAGTTAGATTCATTCTTGTATTATAGCGTTTCGGCTGATCAGTACTACACCTTTCTTTGCATGTATAATGCAAAAAAAAAAAAAAAATAGTCACTTTGGTCAGCCAAAAAGCCAAAAAGGGAGATGATATAAAATAAGATGGAGCAAAGATTTGCTGAACTTATTCAAAAGATTTAATGATATCAGAGTTGATTTCGTATATATTTAAAGGTTGTTTTTTTTTTTTTTCAAAAGATTATATTTAGAACATCGAATGCAAATTTAGTAGGGAATGTTAGTCATCTTCTTAAATTCACATAGGGACATAAGAAAGCTATAATTAAAATAAATCTTGAAACACGGATCTGACATTCTATATCCACTGTGCAAACCCTGTCGTAAAATGCAGGCGCATTTCACAGTGGCCCTACGGCTATCATAGCTACATATGATCAGATTACGATAGATAGATAGATAGATAGATAGATAGATAGATAGGACAAAATATTGGAGAGAAAAGGCAATGATCATGACTGACTTTCATTTGCCAAGGTTAACAACGAGTGTATCAGCATATTGCATTTTTTACTGTTTGAACAGATGATCGATCGATAGAGGTGAACAGATTGGTAATGATACACAGACAGGTAGTCAGACAGGTATACGTACAGACATATATATAGAGATAGATAGATAGATAGATAGATAGATAGATAGATAGATAGATGAGAAAAAATATTAGTGAGGAGATTGGTTAATCAGGACTTACTTGTCAAGATTAACAACGAGTGAAACAGCGTTTTGCGTTTTACATTTTCCAGTGTTTGAACAGATGATAGATATGAACAGACTGGGGTGGATAGATAGATAGATAGATATATAGATAGATAGATAGATAGATAGATAGATAGATAGATAGATAGATGTAAACAGGCTCAAATAGATAGATAGATAGATAGATAAGAAGAGTCTGCGATATGTATATTCAGTGGTATGGATATGAGTTTGTAACGTTGGGTTTCACGCTTTTGCACACATCAAATTCTCTCTCTCTCTCTGTACATATATATATATATATATATATATATATATATATATATATATATATATATATATGTAAATGTACAAGCCGAAAATCAAGAAAACTACATTCAAAAATACTAGAAACCAGAACACCCATTAAGCGAATGAATAAGAGTTTAAAAATATGAGTGTAGGGAGGAAGGAAAAATAAATGAAGAAGAGGACGGAAGAAAAAATATATTTATATTTCGCTCATCTGGGTTCATAGGTCCCTAAAGAAGATATCTATATCTATATCTATCAATATATATATATATATATATATATATATATATATATTTCTTTTATATATATATATTGTTAAAGAATTATATATCATTTCAGAAGCGCAGGTACAATACAAAGCTAGTGGGCTGTGTCTGGAGGTCGGGGGAAGAAGCATGGTGGGTGTCCTAGGGTAGGGTGAAGCATTTTGGGGAGAGTGATATCTGGTGAGATCTGGTGGAACGTGTGGCGTTGATGATCGTTTGTATCAGGAGGAGAGCTTGTCAATGGCTGCATATCAGGACAGTGCGGGGTTGTTGAACGGGAGAACGGAATTCATGTCAAAATATAGATACCTGGGTAAGAATGTTCTCGGTGTGTACGACCCGGGACAAAAAAAAAAAAAAATAAATAAATAAATAAAATAGTATATGTATTTTTTTCCGCACCTCCTCCCATTCTTGACTACCCGTAATGTTGCGGGATAAAATTGGTGTGCGCTGATGAACGCTTGTTACCTAAACACCTGGTGAGACCTCATGGTCGAAAACAAAGGTAGTGCAGTAGGAGATAGTGTTTACCTTTATATATATATATATATATATATATATATAATAATAATATATATATAATAATTAATAATAATGATGATTTTACCGATACAATTCCTACTAATTAACCCATAGCTGGAGGAGATTCATACTTCTCCAAATTGCATTTCCGCGTAAGTGAATATAACGAACCCGTCTGGAACTGGAAACTCGTCTTCCCGATCTCAAATTCATAGACATTATCCATTACACCAGCCGCACAATCCAAGCAACTGGTATTTCCGAGCGGATACCCATCTAGGTACTGAGCAGGCTCAACGTTGCTTAACTTCATTGATCGTACGGGAAGAGGAATTTCAACGTGATATGGCCAAAATAAAATATAATCGACTACACACAAACATTATATTTAATAGACATTCCATAACTAATTAACCTGAAAGACTTTTAGCTAATCGCACTATAAAATTTGTCACAAACACCTCAAAGACAGTTAAAAGATAGAAATTTAAAACTGATTTAATTTTACTCTAGAAGCATCGGCTTACCAAATAGAATATAGACAAGAGATGAACATAAAAGGAACGCTGAATTCAACAACACACTCATTGCACTTGTATGCCTCGACAGAAACCTTAGAAATATATATCTATATCTATATCTATCTATCTATCTATATATATATATATATATATATATATATATATATATATATATGGCCTTTATGCCTACATGAAAAACTACACATTATGAAGTTTCTAAAAAACAAAAATTTATTAAGAAATAGCGTTTTTTTGCAGACAACACAAAATATATGCCTTAAAAAATTAGTAATTTATTAATGAATAGAAAAAAAATTACAAAAGAAATTATATCCTAAAATACATATAAAAAAACACAATACCATATATAAGTAATTACACAATACCATATAAAATCTATTAGCAAATTAAATTATTTTCAGACACATGTAAAAATATGAAATTAAAAATAAAACCCAATTATATCTAAGCACACCTTTAAGAAAGCATCAACGAAAAACAAATAAATTAACACCAAAAAGACTGTAACTAAAAAACATCAGTCAGTAAATTTTAACAAATATTAATAAAAACGACAGGCCCTGAAAAAAAGGCCTTTGTAGCCAGAGAAAGATGCCCCAACCAAATCTTACGCGACTCCAAATATTTGACATATAATAAACATTCATAGTTTCATTTCAGTAGTGACCCCTGGATAACGAAAGAAAAAAAACAGATTAAACTTCCATTTTCAAGCTATAAATCTGTAAAACATTTCTTGAATTAGTTATTTTAAACATCGCTTGAGAATGAAATTGCACTCTAAATTTTAGGTTTAATATAGAAATTAAACTTTGCGACTTGAGTCAAGTTCGAAACATAGTAATTTCTCTGTTTCAAAGGCATCAATGCATTGGATCATATTTTTAAAAAAATATAATACACACACACACATACACACACACACACACACACACATATATATATATATATATATATATATATATATATATATATAGAGAGAGAGAGAGAGAGAGGTGAATAGGAAGATAAAGGATGAGAAAAAATATTGGTGGGGAGAGCGGATAATGAGAAATTCTGTCAATGTTAAAAACGTTTTTTATTTTCTACTGAAAAATCTGAACAGCTGATATATATGAATAGACTGAGGACGATAGATAGGAACAGTTTGACACACGCACACACACACACACACACACATATATATATATATATATATATACAGAGAAAGAGAGAGAGAGAGAGAGAGAAAGAGGCAGACAGACAGACAGACAGAGACTCGCCAGTAGTTTAATATCGCCTGATGAGACACATGGTGTTAAAACATAACTGTAATTGTGTATAAATTTTTTACTGTTTAATATCCTAAAAATAAATTATATATATATATATATATATATAGTCATATATATATATATATAAATATCAAATAGATATATATATATATATAAGAACAGTATCAGTATATGGATGCTTTTGTAACGTTGGGTTTTGTACTTTTGCATGCCTATTGTGGAAAATATAGGTAAATGAAGGCATATTTCATTTGTATATATATATATATTAAATTTGATACTAAGCAAACTATATATATATATATATATATATATTTAAATAAATTATTTAGGGAAAGGAAAAATTTCATTTGTGCGGAAGAAAAAAAATATATAGCTTTATTTCTTCCTAAAGATATCTATATCTATATCAATATATAATATAATAAATAAGTTTATATATTTTTCTTTTTCGTTCCCAAGCTCACCAACAATGATAAATCAATAGTGGAATGTGTCTGGAGGACAATTAAAACTAAAATGTCTATTAATGATGGAGGCCTGTCCAAAATAGAAAGTGAAAATAATTTTTTTTTTTTTTGTCCATAACTGTATATCTGGTATTTTCTGGTGGAAACTGTGCACCAAAATTACTTTGTAAAAAAAAAACTTTTCAATTTGCTGCATATAAAAAAAAAAAAAAAATATATATATGCTCACTGAACAGGAGGAAAAATTCCCGTCAAAATATAGATAATATGGGAAGTAATTTGTCGGTTTACCCGAAATGGGACAAAAAAAAAAAAAAGACATAAATAAATAAAATGCGAATTGGACAGATAGACGGTTTTTTCCACCTTTGGGTCCTTCTTGACACAATTCCACTTGGATAAAATCCGTAATCACTGAAGAAGATGCACCAACTACAACGATATGTGGATGATACATTTTGTCTGTTTAATCCTAAATGGAACGCTGGGAAGTTCCTTCCTATGAATTGTTTTAACCACATTTAAAATCCTAAAAAGAAGAAACATGATGGGGGGTCTCTTTTCCTTGATGTAATATCGGAAAATAACAATTAATCATGATTTACCGAAACCGACATATATACGCTTAACCAACCTATTTTGTCCCTTGAAACCAATAAATGGTGATATATAAATAGGGCCCTTCTCCAAATATTTTCCGCGTAAGTGATTTTTATATAACGATATCCTAATATCCATTCGTGATATGGTCATGGCGGATAAAATAACATTATATACAGAAGGGCCCCATATTCACGGTCCTGGTTTATTTCCGGTCACGGATACCCATCAAGTCCGTCCATGACGTCGGTTTCCAGGCTCAACGTTGTAGACTGGTCCGACCTTCATACAGGAAAGGAATTTTCAACTGTTTCAATAGTGAATTTAAAATTTATAATGACTACATTCATAATTATATAGAAAGACATTCCATTTCACTGTTAAACAGGCAGCATGTATCATCCACGAATTTTCAAATAGACGGTGCAATAAAATTTAGTCACAAACGACTTCAAAACAAAAATGTTAAAAAGAAATACCCAAAAAAGAGAAGAATTTTCATCGGCTGTCCAAATGTATTTGAAACAAACTCTGAACATTTAACCATTCATTCCAACAAACTCATTTTGGTAAATCAACAAGATTGACAAAATGACTTCGATATCTATATCTATATCTAAATATCAATCGTTATATATACATATACAATTAAACGAAGTTTTTTTTTATCAAACGATATATATATTTATTTTTATATGGGGTTTTTTGCCTAATTTAAGAAACTAAAATATATATTACTAAAGTTTCTAAAACAAAATTTATTAAAAATTAGCGTTTTTTCTATTCACCTATTATATTTTAAAAATAGACGAAGGTGGACAATTTATTAATGAGATCTGAAAAAAAAATTTTCAATGAAACCTATATATTAAACCTGTTATAAAAAAACATAATACCTATAAGAAATAACCCATATTCATATATATATATATATATATATATATTTTCATATATATATAAATATGAAATAAAAAAAACAAATTAGTTCGTCCTAGCCGTTTCGTCATAAAAATTATATCAACGCAAAACAAAAGAAAACAAACGCAAAATATAGCAAATAAATGTATTGGCGTAATACAAATTGGTAATGCAGTTAATAGATCCAAATTTTTAGCAAATAATAATATATATACAATCTGGGAAATCAAAAAAAGTAGGACTTCCTTCTGAGTCTACGTGCTCGCAAAGATGCCTCCTACAAATCGGTTACTCCAAATATTTGTGATAAACATTGCATCTCTGTCATTTCATTATCCCCGGGATTCACCGGCAGCAAAAAACAAGTACACTTCCATTTTCCGAAAAAGGGGTAAAGCCTCATTTCATAAATGACGCTAAAATCAAGCATCTGGTGCCCTCAATTTTGGGTTTTTTATTTCGTCCAAATCCGGGAATTTGCCTCAGGAAAGAGACTATATAAAATTCATTGTTTTTATCTATAATGTTGAAAATTATTCAACCGTTTAATAAGAAGAATATCAGTTTATGATAGAAATATATGCAAAACGCTGTTGATATATATATATATGGCCTAGGCGTGTTCAAATGCTTGATTCAAAATCGTACGAGGTCGCACAGCAATCGCTATCATTTTGATAAAATATTTTTGCCCTTCCTTGCCTTTTTGCCGTTTTATAATGAAATTATCTCATACTGCGAATTTTTTTCAAAAACGTTTTAAATCTGTTACGAAAAAGAACTAAACAAAATGAACACAAAATAGACTGAGGACAAAAAAAGGACTCGTTTGAAAAACTGAATGAAAAAGAATGTTAACAACAAATACTTTTCATATATATATAGTTCTGTGGAATCCAGAATCAACGTAGAGTTTAAGCAAGAATGAGCAAATTGAGTAAAGTGCCATGAAGATTTAAAATTTTTAAATTAAATATAGTTACACAAAATAAAAAAAAATTCAAAAGACGTTCCTGTGAAAACGTCTTTTTTTGATATTTGTAACTTTTTTGACTAAGTCTGTGTTTTTATTTTTCAGTTTGATATATATATATATAGAGAGATAGATAGATAGATTGATATTGAGAAAATATTCGACAGCAGTGCTGAAAATTAGGGTTTACTTTTGTGAAGGTTAACAACTAGTTTCAGAGCATTTTATATTTTCTACTGTTTGAACAGATGATAGATATGAACAGATGGAGGATGACAGATAGATAGATAGATAGATAGATAGGAACAGTCACACACACATATACATACACACACACACACACACACATATATATATATTTAGATAGATAGATAGATGTTCAGAAAATATTGACGAGGAGAGCGGACAAACAGGATTTATTTCTGCCATGATTTACAACGAGTGTAAGAATCTCTTACCTTTTCTACTGTTGGATAGACGGGTAGATATGAACTGATAGTTCATATCTTCCCTATCTTTTATTATATATCAACTATATATCGATTTATAAACTGTGATCATAAAAAAAAAAAAAA